TACATAGAAAAAAGACTTATCAAAATATTAAAGAAAATTATTATTATTATTATAGTTTCATAATAAATAGTTTTATAAAATTATGTTGAATTTCTAAATCCGTTTTGTTTTCATGTACTCATAAATTCTAAATATTTGTGTGAACATTAATTATAAACTTATCCTAAATTATATAAACTGAATAAAACAACAAAAACTTATTAATACCGGTAATATTAATAAAATAAATTTACAATAATCTGATAAAATCTGTCAAACATTAGTGTATAAAACACAGAATTGACAGAAAACGATAACATAATGCTATTCTTGATCCACAAGAATATAATATACAGTATATTTTGAAATGAAATCATAAAATCTTTTCAAATCTCTGAGCAAACAATTTGATTGACAATTCAGTAGATTTCAAACATTTAGTTTGTAACTAAATTCTTGTACTAAATTTAATTCCCAAATATTTATATTAAATTTCTTTGAACTTATTTAATAAGTTTTTTCAATAAAAAGTTTAATAATCAATTATCGGTAGAAATAATCATAAATATATTTTTTATTATATTAAATTTCATTTTATTAACATTTCAATTTGAAAATAGTATCGAAAAAATAAATGTCTCATCGAGGTAAAAGCAAAGTTAATGACAATAATAGCCTTTCCACCGCCATTTCCCGGCATACGTTGTTGTCTATGGGTTTCATACAAATAACAAACACAAGAATTAGAGAATATTCTGCGACAACAGCACTGGTATGCGAAAAGGACTTACATTCCGGGCTCTCGAGTGTAGTGCTCCTTTCCATTACGTCGGGAGTACACGAAACACCCGATCACTAGTATAATCACTATAATGATGGGCAGTATGACGCCGATGTCGATACCCGCTATCGTTCCCGTGTATTTGGGATCACCTGAAAGTAGCGTAACATTGGAGTCAATACATTGTCTATGAAACCAATCACTAGTTATTCCTAATTATGGGTCAAACACTTACTGATACACTCGGGGTCCACACCCCAAGACCACAGGCCGTCCTCTCGGCAACGGCGCGCTTCGTAACCGACCAATCGGGGATCTGTAAGTCAAACACACATATAATTAGCATCTGGCGTCTGAATGGACGGGTATATTGTCTCACATTTCTTATTAGCCTCGTTGGCCAGGTACAGTGCGTAGGCCTCGTGTTGCTTGGTCACTTTGGCGTAGTCCTTGTTCAGGGTGATCACGTAGTCGTACTGACAGGGCACGGAGTCGGCGCACACGGACTCCATTTCGGGGCGCA